GGGGGGTGGTGCACGGAGACCCTCGTGCAAGCGGGAGGGTGCACGGGGACCCTCGTGTAAAGGGCGAGGTGCATGGAGACCCTCGTGCAAAGGGGGGTGTGCACAGGGACCCTCGTGTAAAGGGCGAGGTGCATGGAGACCCTCGTGCAAAGGGGTGTGTGCACGGGGACCCTCGTGTAAAGGGCGAGGTGCATGGAGACCCTCGTGCAAAGGAGGGTTGTGCACGGGGACCCTCGTGTAAAGGGCGAGGTGCACGGAGACCCTCGTGCAAAGGGGTGTGTGCACGGGGACCATCGTGTAAAGGGGGGTGTGCACAGGGACCCTCGAGCAACCGAGAAAGGGCGAGGTGCATGGAGACCCTCGTGCAAAGGGGTGTGTGCACGGGGACCCTCGTGTAAAGGGCGAGGTGCATGGAGACCCTCGTGCAAAGGGGTGTGTGTGCACGGACCCTCGTGTAAAGGGCGAGGTGCATGGACACCCTCGTGCAAAGGGGTGTGTGCACAGGGACCCTCGTGCAACGGAGGGAGAGCCCCGTGCCGGGGGGGGTGCACGGGGACCCTGCGTGACCCCCTTGCACGGCCCCGCAGCCCGAGGTGGGAGCAGGGAAGGGCCGTGTCTGTTTGTCTGGAGCTCCGAGCGGCGTCGGGCACTTTTCCCCAGGGAACTCTCCTAAAAAACCAGCTGCTCGTGGCCCGGGGGAGCCCTGGTGGCCCAGGAGGGATCTTGGGGTGCATCACGAGGGGCGTCTCCAGCAGGTCAGGGAGATTCTCCTGCCCCTCTGCTCTGGTGAGACCTCACTTGGGGTGTTGTGTCCAGTTCTGGGCTCCCCAGTTCCAGAGGGACAGGGATCTACTGGAGAGAGTCCAAGGGAGGCTGAGGATGATGAAGGGACTGGAACACCTGCCTGAGGAGGAAAGGCTGAGAGACCTGGGGCTGTTCAGCCTGGAGAGGAGACTGAGGGGGGATTTAATTAATGTCCATAAATACATGAGGGCATCAAGAAGGCAGGGACAAGCTCTTGTCACTTGTGCCCTGTGATGGGATGAGGGGCAATGGATCCAAACTGGAGCCCAGGAAGTTCCACCTCAACATGAAGAAGAACTTGTGACTTGTGAGGGTGGCAGAGCCCTGGGACAGGCTGCCCAGAGAGGGTTTGGAGCCTCCTTCTCTGGAGACTTTCCAGACCTGTCTGGATGCCTTTCTGAGTGACCTGCCCTGGTTTTGGTCCTGCTCTGGCAAGGGGGGTTGGACTTTGATCTTCTGAGGTCCCTTCCAACCCTGGACACGCTGTGACCCCGTGATCTGCCCTGTTGCCCCAGGCCTGAGCTGCAGGGTCGGGCCCAGAGAGCCCAGAGGGCCACACGTGGCTGTTCCTCAGGGGATGTGTCTGTTCCACACCTTTATGGACAGTCCTGAGGAGTCACCAGTGACTCCAGGCTGGGCGGGAGTGCACGAGGACAGGGAGGGTCTGCAGGGAGACCTGGACAGGTTGGATCGCTGGGCTAATGTCAATAATATGGGGTTCAACAAGTGCCTGGTCCTGCCCTTGGGCC